TATGTATATGTATGTATAGAGAGAGAGATAAAATTGTTTAAATATTTATATTTAATTATATTTATATTTAATTTCACTTTACTTACAAACACACAAATAAATTAATAAATATTTAAGTATATTATAATTAACTCACCCATCTCTCTCTCTCTCTCTCTATATATATATATAAGATAAAATCGATTTTTTTGGGGGTGATCCAAGAAAGATAATTTCAGTTGAAAGGAACTGAAAAAACTGAAGAATCGCATATACATTTGTATTTTCCCTGACAAACAGACATGCAGGTACACCTCCTCTAACCCTACGTCTACACAACTATTCAGTCTTGCATGGTACGATGATGTTGCAATGCATGATTCCTCCTGCAGTAGACCGTGGCCGGCAGTTTGTCAATGCTAATCCAGTTAAAACGCAAACCTGACTGGGTGGAGTGTGTGAGCAGCTCGCGGTGTAAGGTGTCTGAGACTCTTAAGCAGGATACCTGCTCTTCTGAGGGGATTCTCACTATTCTAATCTGGTTTGCTGAAATCGACCCCAGTCGTGATAGAATTCAGGAGGCATTAGGCACCTCTCTCAGATCCTTGCATGTCGTTTTCCTTTAATAAGACTTAGAAGTGTTCTAGCGCTAAACCATTTCAGCAGACACTTTCAGCACTTTTAGTTAGACCTGTCCAGGTGTCCTGTTGCTATTTATGTAGTTTCATAAACCTAAATATTCAATTAAACCTTGAGGAAGTTCTTAGGAGCCGTTGTCAGGTTACTTATTGAAACTCTTTTTTTTTCGTGGTGAGTTCAAGGTGCTTTTTATCTCATGTTAGGTGTTCCTGGGTAACTCAGGAGAGGTGAAGAAGTACTCCACCCTTCTCATCCAACCTGGTTTGGCCATCAACAGTGACTTACTGCTGGATTCCACCCATAGACACATCTACATCATGACCAGCCATTCTGTGAGTTAACAAATCATGTCATTAGTACTACCAGTCAAAAATACTAATTAAGGTTTGTTTTTCTTATGCTCATCAAGGCTGTATTTATAAGATATTGTGTATTTGATATTATGAACTATTATTACAAATTTAAATAGTTTCAACATTGATGCAATATACTTATAAAACTGTAAAACTATATTTGTAATAATTATAGGATAATTAAGTATGTTTAAAATCATTTTAGTTTTGCCTGATTTTTGGAAAATGATGTTTAAGTAAAAGCAAAAAAATAATAATAATAAAAAAAAATAAATTTTTTTTTAAATATATATATATATATACATTTTAAACCAATTTGATGATGTTTACAGAGTGTAGTACTCTGAGATTAATTTTACTGAGGTGAACATACGTCCTCTTTTTCCCAGACGTGTCCTGGTCAGGATTTCTAAATGGCCTAAAATTTCTGGGTTTTGGCTTTGTTTTCCTGTTGTTTTTCATTCCTGAAGGTAATGATTGAAAAGTAGTTTGGCCAATAGCATGCAGGCATTGTACGTAACCGACCAATCGAGGCATGCGAAAAAAAAGTGGGATCTACAGAGAACGGTCAAAGCAATGAAATGCTTTCATATAATGTAGAAGTACTGTACAGAACATGTCAATAGGAAAACAAAGCCGAAACCTGGACATTTTAGCCAATTTGGAAAAAGAGGACGTATGGTCACTCTAGTTTAATGATTTTTATTATATTCAAATACATACTGCAAAATTTCCACTCCTAATCAGCATAAAAAAAGTTTAAAAGTGCATATTTGATGTAGTTCACCATCACATTCCCCCATATGCCTGGAGTGGAAACTCTGGGTCATAGCTGTGTTGTGTGTGATTTCTCCTGCTGTGCTGTGTGTGGTCAGGTGGAGAAGAGGCCTGTGGCAGAGTGTGACAAGCACACTGATTGCACTTCCTGTCTGGCAGCGAAGGACCCATACTGCGGTTGGTGTGTTCTTGATGGCCGGTGAGTTTATTCTTGTAATTCCTGCATTGGACGGCAGTTTTCAGTTTATTTTAGAAGTATTTCTCTCTGTCTGTCAGTTATCTTACTCATCATCCTGTCTGGTCTTTTTTTCCCTCTCTCCTCCAGGTGTGGGATGCGTTCAGACTGTAGGCTGGGCTCTGTTGAAGGTCATTGGCTGTGGAGCTTTGATGAGCAGCAGCAGTGCTTGAGAGTGGAGTCACTGAGCCAATATAACGCCAGCCTTGGAGAACAGAAACAGGTATAAAATCATCCAGTCAGAAACACCATCAAAATTCAGTCCTCCTTCAGCCATAGCCTATAAGTAAACCCTGTAATATTTCATTTAATATCTTTCATTCACTACCATTCTAAAGTTTGCGGTTGGTAAGATTTTTGATGTTTTTCAAAGAAGTCTCTTATGCTCACCAGGGTTAAAATACAGCAAAACAGTAATATTGTGTAATGATATCGGAATTTAAAATAACTGCTTTCTATTATAATGTGTGTTAAAATGTCATTTATTTCTGTGATGCAAAGCTGAATTTTCAGCATCATAACTCCAGTATTCAGTGTCACATGATCCTTCAGAAATAATTGTAGTATGCTGATTAGCTGCTCAAGAAACATTTATTATTGTTATTAATGTTAAAAACAGCTGTGCTGCTTCATATTTTTATTTGAACTGATACATTTCTTCAGGATTCTTTAATGAATAGAAAGTTCGAAAGAACAGTATTTATTTATTTTTTTTTAATTATAAATGTCTGTACTGTCACTTCTTATCAAATTACTGCATCGTTGTGAAATAACTGACCCTCGTGTTGTTCCAAACCTGTATGCATTTCTTTCTTCTTCTGAACACAAAAGAAGTTATTTTGACGATTAAACAGTTTTGGTTCCCATTGACTTCCATTGTATTTTTTTTCCATACAAATGTAATTCACTGGGAACCGAAAATGTTTAATTATCAACATTCTTCACAATATCTTTTTTTTTTTGTTTTGTTCAGAAGTTAGAAATGCTGGCAGTAGTGAGTAAACGATGGCAGAATTTTCATTTTTGGATGAACTATCCCTTTAATTAAAACTCTTGAACAGTAATGTATATGACATATAATATATCCAGAGCTGTAAATGGTCAAATTAAATAATTGTTTCTTTGTGTTTCAGTTAGCATATGGTTGGCGAGCTACAGTAATTAGCCTCTAAGCTAGCAGACTCTGCCACTGCACTCCCTAATGGGATAATTCACACATTATCTTGCCTCATTTTTTATGCTTAAAAGCTTTTTCCCCAGTCATTGTCATATTTATTTAACTATTCCTTAAGGGATGCTTTTCTAATGAATTATCAAAGCTATAAAGCTTAATGACACAAAAAAATATGTTTTGTGTTACCGGTCAATGATATGTGGGCACCACAGTCACCTGTGCCACTCCTGAGGCCCACAGACTTCCAGCAGTACCACAGGGAGAGGGTGAGAAAACCCACACACTAATGATGTTTGACTTGTTTCAACAACTTGACAAACTGGCTTTAAGGAACTGGTTTACAGTTGTAGAAACCTGTGTGGGCTGTGTGTGGAACCATTTATGAGTGGGAGTGTCATGATTGACTTTCAAGCACCAATCAACTTAATATAATTACAATCCAGATTGTCAGTGTGACTTTTTCTCACAGTTAAGAGCGACTTACTATACCGCTCAAAAGTTTGGGGTCAGTAATATTTAAAAATACTAATAATGCTTTAATTCAACAAGGATGCATTCAGTTGATCCAAAGTGACAGTAAAGGCATTTATAATTTTACAAAAAATGTCTGTTACAACTAAATGCTGTAATTTGGAACTTTCTATTCATAAAATAATCCTGAAAAAAATATATCACAGTTTCCACAGAAATATGAAGCAGCACAACAGTTTTAAACATTGATAATAATAAGAAATGTTTCTTGAGCTGCAAATCGGCATATTAAAATGATTTCTGAAGGATCATGTGACACTGAAGGCTGGAGTAATGTTGCTGAAAATTAAGCTTTGCATCACAGGAATAAATTACATGTTAAAATATATTCAAATAGAAAATTTTTATAATATTTCACAATATTAAAATTTTTACTGTATTTTTGATCAAATAAATGCAGCCTTGAGAGACTTATTTCAAAAACATCAGAAGAATCATTTGAAAAGTAGTACATCAGCCTGGGATCACTCTGGAATTTTAGAATAGTCATGTTCCAGTTTCACTTCCACTGATGGATTTCCGCACCATTACTCTTACTCTTCCATTGAAGCATTCCACTAAAAAGTTAATGACGCTACATGAATGGTGACATACGCTATGGATGGTGCATTTAACTTCATCTCATTATTTTTTAAGGTGTTATGTGACATGATGTTCCACCGCCATAATATCCGTTTAACATTTTGACCCAGAGTCCTCTCATGTTTGTCCTCTATAACAGATTCTGTGTCCATCACGCTGTCCCTGCGCTTTCGGATGGTCACCGTAGCGCTCGCAGACTTCACCTTCTACGACTGCTCTGTGGCGCAGCAGCTCTCTGGCACCAGGCCGTAAGTCACATGGACTCTCCTGCGTTTTAATGCCACATGAATAAAGCAATCACAAAAATACAGTACAGTGTTTTTTCATTCTTAAAGAGAGAGTTCACACAAAAAATGAAAATTCGGTCATCATTTACTCCCCATCATGTTGTTTCAAATCTGTAATAATTGAAAAATGACTAATATTAATAAATGCTAATTCATGTTAATTCATGTTAACTAATGTAGTTAACTAATGTTAACAAATAAAACCTTATTGTAAAGTGGTAGTGAAAAGTTTTAGCCATTTAGTGTCATGCCATCATCATCCAAAAGCAATATTAAAACATCCGTTGGTGAGCGGCTGTCATGCGTTGAAGAATGTCCCAGAGGCGTGCGATGGGCAGGGCAGCTGTCTGTCTTTCCGGACCTCACTAACACATCCCTGATGATTTAACAGCTGTTTCCCACATTCCACCATTCCTCCGCCCTGACCATCCTCCCTTACCCATACACCCCTGCAGACAGCCGCTGATGGCGCGGCTCTCCCTGATGTTGTTTTGATTTGCGATGTGGGAAAGCTGTGAACTCAGCTCTGTGATGTTTGATGAGTTTAGGGGAGTCATGTGTAATTGTAGAGCTCAGCTATTTTTCATGCAGTGCTGCTTTGCTGTCTTCATCTGAATGCTCAGAGGGGTGTAGATGGGTTTAATTTATGCAGTCACTTTTAAACTTTTGGCCCATTGTGTTCTGTCTCGCTCTGTTTTTAGGTGTAGGGGCTGTGTGAACAGCCGCTGGAAATGTAACTGGTGCGTCCACCAGCATGTGTGCACTCACCGGTCCACGTGTGACCGTGGTGCGATCATCTACAACCAGCATGTAAGTTTTTGTTAATATGTGAGGTCATATCTGTGAGTTTGATATGCTGTGCAATTATAGTGGAGCCAAAAAGTCTGAGACCAACAGTGAAAGTGCATGTTTATATTTTAAAACGTTTTTTTGACAAATTAGTTTTTTAGCTAATGTATATTTTACAAAAATACAAATTGTTTTATGAGCATGACAATTTGTGGAATGTTTAAGTGGAAAAAAGTATTCGATTTTGTCCCGATTTTGTTACAAATGTACTTATTTGATTAGTGAACTAGAAATAGTAGAATATAAAAATGTGAAATTTCTTATTCAATTTGTCATTCTTTTTTTTTTTTTCACAACGTTTATTAATTAAAGTTTTAAATCAAAGGTTTTCAGTGTGGTATCAGACTTTTAGACCCCACTGTATGTGTTTTTGGCTCCTTTTGCTTAACCGTTTTTGGTTCATATTAACTACCATTTGAAAATTTGGAGACAGTAACATTTAAAAAATAATAATGTAATATTTTTTTTTCAGCAAGAATGCATTAAATTGATGACAACAGAACATTAAAGACATTTATGTTACAAAAGATTTCTATTAAATAAATGCTATTCTTTTGCACTTTGTATTCATCAAAGAATCTTGGAAAAAAGTATCACAGTTTCCACAAAAATATTAAGCAAAACAATTGTTTACAACATTATCATTATAAGAAATGTTTCCAGATCAGCATTATATGATTTCTGCTCCCACTACTCCAGAGCCCACCGCCGCCCCCACCACAACTCTGGAAACCACGACCCCACTCAACCAACCACCCACCACCCCCAACCACGCTACAGCCTCCTCTACGCACCCATCCAGTGCCACTACAGAGTCAACCGATACCATCACAGAGGCCACGACCCTATCGAAAAATGCCTCTTGGGTGGAGGAGAGCATCCAGGTAGGTTTGCTGTCAACACCGACCCCGCAATCATATGAAGAACTTGTGGGAGGTTCGTTGCATGAAGAGGCCGCTGAAGTGACGCTGCCCGCGTTGAGAGCTGGGGAAGTTGTTACAAAAGATTTCTATTAAATAAATGCTATTCTTTTGCACTTTGTATTCATCAAAGAATCTTGGAAAAAAGTATCACAGTTTCCACAAAAATATTAAGCAAAACAATTGTTTACAACATTATCATTATAAGAAATGTTTCCAGATCAGCATTATATGATTTCTGAAGGATCATGTGACACTGAAGACTGGCGTAATGGTGCTGATGGTGAAATGGTGAAATTCACAGAAATATAAATATAAAATATGTTCAAATAAAAAAATTTAAATAAATGCAGCCTTCAAAAATCTTACCAACCCCAGACTTTTAAATGGTAGTACACATAACGCTTGCATGTGTGTTTTATGATTTTTAATGTTTAATTCGGCACCATTGTTTATTGATTTGAGTTGATATTAATTTATTTCAGTTGCCATTTATTTCATTTTTCCCCTCTCTGTGTCCTGTGTTCGTCTAAAGTTTTCGCTCCCCACGTCTGCTCCTCAAACAATAAAAGACTTTGACGCGTACACATACACCACCTCCACACCCACGTGAAGAACTTGTGGGAGGTTCGTTGCATGAAGAGGCCGCTGAAGTGACGCTGCCCGCGTTGAGAGCTGGGGAAGTGGTGACGATGGGGCCGTTGATTGAAGCGCTGCCCTCATCCTCCTCTGAAGTGGTTACCCTCTCGCAGGCGGAGATGGATGTAGATGCACTTATAGACACGGGCGTCCCTGTGTCGTCAGCCAGCGCCCCCTCTGGCGACGGTGAGGCAGGGCCTGATTCATCCGATTTCCCCCTCGCTCCAGACACAGACTACCAGTCCGACTCAGCTGACCTTTTCCTCCTGGTGAGTGTGGTTCCTCGGGCCAACTCTGCTCGCATGTAGCGCTGTAGATGCTGGAGGTTGAACGTACCTAAAGCGTAAATTACATGCGTGAATGATAGGATATATAATTAAATAGATGAAAGCAGTTCTGCTCTATTACTAATTCGACCATAATTATATATTAAAGTCATTTAATGTCACAACATTAAAGCAATGTTCTGGGTTTATGATGATGCACAGAAATTAATTTTGACTCGTTCATCAGTTTGTAAAAAAACAAGCAAAAATCTGGGTTACAGTAACGCTCTTGCAGTTTAAATGGATAGTTCACCATAAAAAAAGAAAATTCTGTCGTCATTTACTCACTCTCATGTCGTTGCAAACCTGTATGACTTACTGTGGAAAAAAGATTTTGAAAAATGTTTCTTCTGTTTTTGTTCATACAATGAAAGTCAATGGGGTCCAAACATGTTGTTTTGGACCCCATTGACTTTCATTTTAAATACAAAAACACCTTGTAAAAGAAACACTTTTCAAAATATATATTTTTTTCTTGTTCTTTTTCTGAACTGTCCATTTAACTAAGTATAGAGTGTAACACAGGTTCCGGTAGTAAAAATCCCATTTTTTTTCTATAGGGTCATTTTTAACAAACTTATCAACAAAAAACTTTGAAGACAGACCTACTGTGAGCTACGTATGGTATATGCTTTTGTTGAAGCCATCAGCCATCATTATTTCAGCCTATTTCTTTAATCGTGTTTAGCAGCAGAATACCTGGTTAAAAAAAGGAAATACATTACCCATGATTCTTCAAAAAAAAAAAAAAATCTCCACCTATCGGAATTAAAGCAAGCAAAGAGCACCAAAAGAGCTCTTTAGTGCCTGCCCACTCCGATGAAGCACCACAAATCACGCAATAGTCAGTCTCCCTATGCTCTCAAACTGGTAAATATTGTAGTAATTGTAAAATATACTATTTCTGTGTGTATGTGTGAATTTACAGGCCCACAAATGTATCCATGCATCCATAATTTTTCACCGTGTCATTCACAATGCTTAATGGGATTGTAGTTCTTTCCCTCATTAAAGCTGATAAGTACACAGTCATGTACTTTTGTCTTTTTGTTTAGTTTTCAAATTTTTTATTTATTTATTTTTTTTTTTGCTTCAAATCAAAGTTTTTAATGTTGTAACTCACCTCGTAACTGGTTGATATGGTTCATGGATTATAACTCTTTAACAAAGACTTTTTTTAAACCCCTATGGGAAAAATGAACAGAAAAAAAATACTTCCAGAACCAGTGCCGCTGAAAAGTTGGGAAGGGATACTGTTGCACTGTATTGAACCCAGAACATTTCTTTAATCATTTAATTAGCTTCTGGTGGCTGTTCCCCATGTGCTTTTTTTTGTGTCCATTTTGTTTTTCATTAAATCTTAGTTTAACACACTCACTTTTGTTGTGCTGCCATTCTGCTTGTTATACGTGTTGCTGTAATATAGCAGAAGCTGAGAGATATTCCACGTCTGCTCTTTTCGAAGCCGTGGTGTGTGTAATTAAGTGTGTTGTCCATCTGTGTGTGATCAGGAAGAGGAGAGTTTACTCGTGAGCAGAGGTCCTCACGCCTGTCCGTGTGTGGAAGGCATCCGGGGCAGCTCGCTCCTACCTGTCAATGTCGAGAGGAAGATCACACTGCTGGGACGCAACTTACACCTCTATCAGGTAATGCAACGTCTTGAGCCTTGTTGGGACTTGACTATGAGAATAATGACTGGTAATGCTCACATAGACAGCAAGGGGCTGTCTGACTGACATGCACAACAACCAACTGTGTTTTTTTTATGGGACATTTAGGGGAGAGTACATCTGAAACCAATCATCCCACATTAATTGACTGATGTGCAACATTGTGGAGACTGCACAGCAGTTGTCAGTTGTGCTTGAGGGTTATAAAAATTATAAACTGAATAGGTTTGAATGTTTATGTGAATAGTTGTTCTTAGAAGTCTGGTAACCTCCGGCCCCGCACACTAATATAAACCTGCATTAAAGTTTGGGGTCCATTTTTCAAAGGATTTTTTTCAAATAAGTCTCTTCTGCTCACTAAGGCTGCATTTATTTGATTGAAAAATACAGTAAAACAGTAATACTGTGAAATATTAAAATTTTTACGAAATTACTGTTTTCTATTTAAAATATATTTTAAAATGTATTTTATTTCTCTAATGTCAAAGCTGGATTTTCAGCATCATTACTCCAGTCTTCAGTGTCACATGATCCTTCAGAAATCATTCTAATATGCTGATTTGCTGCTCAAGAAACATTTTTATTATCATCAATGTTGAAAACAGTTTTGCTGCTTAATATTTTTGTGGAAACCGTGATGCATTTTTTTCATGAATCTTTGATTAATTGAAAGTTCAAAAGAATTGTGTTTATTGGGTGTATTATGTTATCTGATTTATTGATTAAATGTTTAAAAATATGTAGACCATAAAAAGAATATATCTGTGTGTGTTTTTAAGGACAAAGATCTTGATTATCAGTGTGTGTTGGTGATTGAGGGCCGATCGGTGGTGGTGGATGCTTTTGTGGAAGTGGACGACACTCAGCCATCTTTGTTCTTCATTACCTGCCAGCTACACCAGGTCTGATTAAAAAAAAAAATCTGTAAAAATATGGTTAATGCATTAATTTGAAGACATTTTCCATATTAATTTTTATACGTGTTTTACCTGCATTTTGAATTTTAGCACTTCATTGCGTTGTGTTTTAGAGTTAGATGGTATTTAGAATTCATGGAAATGTCTGTAAAAAATTACTGGGCAAGGTCCTGGCAGAAAATTACCTGTATATTAAATTTTTTTGTGTAACAATATTTATATTGTTTTCATTTTTAATTTGAAGTTTTAGTAATTGTGTTGTTCATTTTTTATGTTTATATCCTTTTTATTAATTTTCATTTTATTTATTTTAGTACATCAAGTTATATTAAATGAAAATGTGAAATGTTGCCTTGGCAACTAAAATGTTTACAATGTTTACTTTTTCTTTTTTTTCCATTATATAATAACTATATATATATATATATATATGTATATATATTTTTTTGTTTTTTTGCTTTAAAAAGGATTTTTAGATATATCTACTGGAAAATAATACATATTTAATTTTTTTTTTTTAATTTAATGTGTAAGTCTTATACAATTCAATTAAGTAGGTGTGTCTTATTTTAAAGATTTATAGATATTTTTACTGTAAAACGACCTAAATGTTATGTATTTTTCAGGGGCTTTAATAGGATGAGATTATTGTTATAACAACGCACAAATTAAAGAAAAAATATGAGATATAAAAACAATTTGCTAATGAAGTTATTTAAAAAAAAAATTTATTAAAATATTTTTAAAATATTTTAAAACAAACTATAATATAATTTAACTGTAATTGTGTTGCTAGCACAACCCATATGTGGCAGTATTATATAACATCCATTAAATAACTGTTACACTGTTGTTACACAGTTACATAACAAAGCCTGTGAAGCTGTGAAAATGATTGTGATTGCATTTCGGTTTCAAAGTACTCTTACTCGGCTGCCGTGGAGGAATACAGGAGCATGATCTCAGTCAGGAGGAGGGACTCTTTCCAGATGGATTACCCAGAGGACCTGCATGGTACGTCATCCATTGTTTGCTGAGGTTATGAATGTGCTGCACTCTGTTTGTGTCACGTGTGTTTTGTCTTTGCAGTTTGGCTGTATAACTGCTCCGTGGGCCGGTCCGACTGCAGTCGCTGTCACACGGCCGATCAGCAGTACGGATGTGTGTGGTGTGAAGGGTCTCGCTCCAGCTGCGTCTACAGGAGCTCCTGCACCGAGCACGTCCAGCAGACCTGTCCTGCTCCTCACATACACACGGTGAGGGACACGCATGTTTATTTGTGCTTTTTGTGAGCCATTAACACTATACTCAGTATTGTTAAAGTGATAGATATTTTTTCCCTCCATTTAATTCACCAGAAGATCTTCAGCTGTTTATTTTCATGTGAGCTGTCCCTTTAAGAGCTTGGAATAAACCTGCCAGGCTAAACTGCATTGTGAAAGGATTTTTCTTCACTATCTGAAATATACATTGTGGTCCTTTAAGGACTGACCCTTGTCCTTGTGCTTTTCCTTGCTGACCCATGAGTTTGTACAATAATTGTTTTGTCCATTAGATGTATAAATCAGAGCACAATATTTCAACTGACATGATTAGCTAAATGACCTCATAGATGTTTGCGTGCAGGTACTCAAGCTTTTTACTTAAGGAAATGTGAGTAATATCGTTAGGGTGTTGTGGTTGGTTGGTTGGCATGCCATCGTTATAAGGTTGCTAAGGTGTTCAGTTCGGTTGCTAGGTTTCTCTAGCTGGTTGCTAGGTGGAAAATTAAATGAAATTAAATACTTTTAATTAAAGTAATTAATACTTTTATTTAGCAAGGAGGCATTAAATTGATCAAAGGTAACAGTAAAGACATTTATAATTTTACAAAAGATTTCTATTTCAAATGAATGCTGTTCTTTGAAACTTTCTGTTTGTCAAAGCGATAAAAAATGGAAAAAAGGATAAAAATGGTTTAGCAAGAATGAATGAAATGCAAAGAATTTTACATTGAAAAAAAAGCAACTTTTTACATTGGAAAAGTGTTTTGTCTTGTCATCCTTAAAACAAAACAAAAATGGAAAGATATTAAGTTTTTTTTTAGAGTATAGATTTTCATGTTTATTTTTAATTTTAAAAGATAATTTAAAAAGGAAATATAGTGGGATTAATGTTTCAAATGAGGAAAAAAAACATTTGCCATTTGAGTGAAAAAAATACGTTTTTTTTCTTCTAATAATAATCATGTGTAAGACTGTCATGTGTTACACTGGAAAACAAGACAAAATATTATGTATTTTCAGGGGTTTTAATATGATGAGATCAATGGTGTAACACCACACAAATTAAAGGAAGAAAAAGGAAATAAAGTAAATATAGTGAGATTTGTTACATTTTTCAGTAGAGATTTGTATTTTAAAAAAATGATCATGGTTTCCACAAAATATTAAGCAGCACAACTGTTTTTATCATTGATAATAATCTGAAATTAATCTTGAGCAGCAAATCAGCATATCAGAATGATCATGTGACACTGAAGCCTGGAGTAATGATGCTGAAAATTCAGCTTTGATCACAGGAATAATTTACATTTTATAATATATTATTAACATAGAAAACAGCAGTTTTAAATTGTAATAATAATTCACAATATTCCTGTTTTCCTGCATTTTTAATCAAATAAATGCAGCCTTGGTGAGCATAAGAGATTTATTAAAAAAATATTTTACAAAACCTTACCAACCCCAAACTTTTGAACAGTAGTGTAGTGCTTCGGGTCTCTAATTCAATGCACATCCATGGCTTTGTCATCACTGAGTAACTTCATTACACATTTTCTGGTTTATTGCAGATTGAGCCTCTTTCTGGTCCAGTGGAGGGTGGCACAGTGCTCACCGTGTCTGGCTCTAATCTGGGTCAGAGAGCTGAAGACATCCAGCACTCTGTGACTGTAGCCGGAGTCCCCTGCACGGTCATCCCCGACAGATACGAGGTGTCCTCCAGGTAATATGATATGAGTATGAGTGAGGGCATGCTGTATATTACTGGCACTCGTTAATGACATTGTATAAATGGCTTCCACAGTGTGATGAAGAGTATTGACCCAGTGCGCTGATTAATGGGAGGTCTCTTTGTGTGCCTGTTAGTATTGTTTGCGAGACCACAGTGAGCGCAGGGGAACAGAGCGGCCACGTCTCGGTTCAGGTTAAAGGCGGAGGAATCGGGCAATCTGCCCAGCGCTTCCGTTACCAGGTAACCATTAATCCAACAGGCCACAAAATGGATAAAAATTGTTTAGCAAGAATGAATAACATGCAAGGAATTCATCCTGTATTTATTAAAGGCAGGGAGGTTTTTGGCCATTTTAAAACAACTTTTACTTACTTTTACTTAAAACTTTATTATTATTATTTTTAAAAATTGTGAGAGGTATTAAGTTTTGTTTAATGTTTATTTAAATTTTAAAAGGCATTTTTGAAAAAAGAAATATAGTGGGATTAATGCTTCAAACAAGAAAAAACATGTTCAAATATGGTGAAAAAACGCATAAAAAGTTATGAATATATATATATAAATATATATGTTTTATTTATTTTTTTATTTTTTTGCTTTAAAAAGGATTTTTAGATATATTTACTGGAAAATAAGACATATTTAATTTTTATTTTATTTATTTTTTTAATGTGTAAGTCTTATACAATTCAATAAAGTAGGTGTGTCTTTTTTTTTAAGATTTATAGATATTTTTACTGGAAAACGACCTAAATGTTATGTATTTTTCAGGGGCTTTAATAGGATGAGATTATTGTTATAACAACGCACAAATTAAAGAAAAAAATGGAATTGAAAAATGAAATTAAATATTTTAAAAATATTTTATTTAAAATATTATAATATTTTAAGAAATTAAAATATTTTAAAAATGTGTAAGGCTTACTCAATTAAATATAGTAAGTAAATGCATCTTATTTGAAGGGTTTTTAGATAAATTTACTGGAAAAAGACCAAAATATTATGCTTATGTAAATGGGGGGGGGAAAAGGAAATAACAAAAGGAAATAAGGTGAGCTTTTATGGTTAAAACAAGATTTTAAAAAAAAGTATTAAAAATATATTTCTTAAATGTAAAAATCTTATACAATTCAGTTATGTAAATCTATCTTATTTTAAGGATTTTTAGATAGTTTTCCTGGAAAACAAAAAAATGTATTATTCAGGGCTTTAACAGGATGAGGTCAACAGCACACATGTATAAAGCAGTGTTTTCTAATGTGTGTGTGTGTGTGCGTGTTCTGTTTTCCTAAACTCAAGGACCCAGTGTTATTGGGAGTGTCTCCACTGAAAGGCCCAATGTCGGGCGGCACATCACTCACCATCACGGGACAGAACCTTCTGACGGGCCGTTCCAAAGAGATCAGCATCCTGATTGGTGGAGTCCCATGTTACATGTAAGTGACTGTGTAGAGCAGCGTCCTCTACGGCCGTCCAGTCAGACAGAAGTCATCAGTAAATCTCATTATGTTGTCATCTCTGCAACTCATATCATGTCAGCTGATTATGTGATACATAATTAATCATCCTTCTGTTAATGTTGGAAGTCTTTGTAGATCTAAAACAATGAGCTGTGTTCTAAATACATCAATTCATAAATCTAATATACTCCATACATTACTCAGGATTTATTGTCATTCATGACTATTCACATTTGGCAACACTGAGTTCAGAGTTTTAGTAGTCTGTGTCTTAACAGTTCTCCCAAGCAGTACAACAACGAACATGTAGAGTGTGTGACTGGAGGGAGTAACAGAACCGGAGAGAGCGGCGTTACAGTACGCTTTGGTAGAGCTGAGCGCCATCTACAGGAAGTCTTCTATCAATACACCCCAGACCCCAATGTAACCCATGCTGCTCCCTCCAAAAGCTTCATCAGGTGAGAAACGTGACATGTATTCTAAAGAACTTAAGTATAGTTTTATTTTATTTTATTTTATTGTTTTTACAGAATTACAGTAAGTATTAAGACTTGTTTTTTACTGTTTATTTTTTTATTAGTAAATTTAATATTTTGCCAATGGAATGAGAACAATATTTTCTCTGAAAACAAGTCTTAGACAAATCAATAAAGTTATCTTGTTTTAAAGACTTAATTTTTTTTATTTTTTTTATTTGCGAAACTGCTTGTCCTATGTCATGGAAATACTGTAGCCTATTTAATTTTATTTATATTAAAAAGCTTCCTCGAGTACGTAACGTTATATTTTTTACAACTTATTTCTTTTAAACATTTTTCCAATGGAGTGAAAATCCATAAAGTTGTATTATTTTAACTAAGGATTTTTGTTTATTTTATTTTGTATATCTTATTTTATCTTACAAAACTGCAAAAGGTACCAAGACTTGTTATACATAGAGAATATATGTTAATGTTTATTTTTTTCATTAGCTAATTAAAGAAAGACATTTAGTGAGATGTGTGCTTCAAATAATAAAAAACATTTTTGCCAATGTATTGTTTTTTGTTTTTTTCAATTAAATTAAGTAAATTAATCTTGTTTTAATTATTTTATTTTATTTTTAAAAACTAAGTAAGAATAAGAAATGAAGACTTAGGACTAATGTATGTAGAATCTTTGCCGTAAATGTGAGCAGTCATATATGTGTCAGTGTATTTATCTGTCTGATTTCAGAAATTTGTCTATAAATTGTCTTTTTGTATGAGTATGTTAACATAGTATGCTTTATGCAATCTTTTTTATTTCAAAAGTTCAAGAAAAAATATGAATATTATTTCTTATATTAAAAACTCTTTATTGTGATTTACAGATTGGTAATATAATTTATGTTATATATTTGACACATGCACAGTTGCACCAATTAGCAAATTAATGCTTTGCAATATTTTTTTCCATGATCTGTGTTTTGGAAATATTAGTTATTATAGTTATTAGTTATTATTATAATAGTTATTAGTCCAGCATATACAGTGGGTACGGAAAGTATTCAGACCACCTTAAATTTTTCACTCTTTGTTATATTGCAGCCATTTGCTAAAATCATTTAAGTTAATTTTTTTTATATAATAACCATCTCATGAATCATGGGTGTTTGTCTAAGCGGGGGCCGTATCATTCGAGTGTCTGGCCAGCATCTGGACGTGGTACAGGAGCCTCGTATCCACGTGACCCTGACCCCTCTGGAGCCGCACTCACAGAAGAGGAAGAGGAGGAGGAGGAAGAGCAGTGTGGATTACAGTCTCCTCAGAAGAGCTCGGCGGATCGTCCCAGAGCCCAACTGTCCTGAAGATAGTCTCTGTGTCGTCAAACAGGTAGAGTTCACACAAGTGAGTCTGTGCTTGTGCCTTCTCTCAAACAAACTGTCTAATATTTACATGTCGGTTATTATAACACAGTTTTTCACCTGGTTTCCTCGTGTCCTGTTCCTGATCAGGTGGAGGAGCGGTGCACAGTGAACAGCTCAACTCTGATCCTGTGTCCCACTCCGGAGGTGGGGCCCGAGGCCCTGCGTGCTGCTGTCAGTGTGCATTTCCTCCTGGATAACCTGCACTTTGAGTTTGAGATGGTCAGCGGCAGCCCCTTCAGTTATGAGCCCAATCCTGTTCTTCATAGCCTCAATCAACATGACCCCAGCAAACCCTTCAGACACAAACACGGCAGCATCATCTCTGTGGAGGTCAGGCCCTTCTCACCCGTGTATTAATGCACAGAAGATTGTTGTTTTGTTATTTAAAAACATATTGTAACTCTATAATTCAAATCCCCAAAACTAATAATAGTTAATATAACTGAACTGTATTATATTATATTATATTATATTATATTATATTATATTATATTATAATACCAGCCTAGATTTCTTATTTTAAAATTACAATAAAAGTTTATTTAATAAAACTAAAAATGATTGCCGTTATTACCATGAAAACAGAACCAGGGTTATTGTAGTTAACTAAAACCATGAAAAAGATTTTTCCTACTAAAAATAAAATAAACTTCAACTGAAATTAAATAAAGTATTTTTTTTAAAGTTTAACTTGATTCAAATTACTACAACTAAAACTGGCATTAATAAAAAAATATATTTATTTATTTATTAAAAAACGTAAAATGTATAGACATGTAAAAAAAAAAAAAATACTAATAAAAATGACAAAACAACAAATTTACTAAAATTTTTACTAAAATTCAAATGAAAACAGAAAATCCCAAAATAAAACTAATTCTAAATAATAAAAAACTATAATAGTATCTAAATGAAACTGAGTTTTGAGTTATAAATGTTCAGAACTCAAAACATCCTCACCAGCACAAGTATCATATCATATATCATATCATAACCGTTTGTTCTGATCCTCAAATCTGATTGGCTGAGAAGTTTTTCCAGCCAAGACATATTCACCCAATATCGCCACGGGAACAGTTTGTCTCACTCCGCTTGCAGCATTTCTCACAGTGAGTGTCATGGTGGACACCCAAATCCACTATAATTTTACAAATACTACTGTTGTTGTGTGTAATTTGTAGTTTTAAGAGTTTTTTTAGGTGAGAATGTAGTTGTTTAAAGCTAAAGTTCAATTTAATAAAATGACAAATTAAATTACAATTCACTCCTATGCAGTCTTTTTTTTTTTCTCTCCATACAGCACACTGTAAATAACAATATGCAAGGAAATATTTCTACTTCATCTGACCCATAATGTTTTTTTTCCTGGTGTGATCTACTGTATTCAAGTTGATTCTGCCATATTTATTAACATTATTATATTATATTATATTATATTATATTATATTATATATTTTTTTAATTTAATAAAAATAAATTATGCAATAAAAAAAGATTGCATTGTGCTATGAAAACATAATGTAACTCTAGTTTGGGATCTCTTCTCCTCTGTGTGTTAATACACAATAGATTATTTTGTTATTTACACACTTGAATGGCCCATGAATTTGGATTCTAGGGGGAGAATCTGGACTTGGCCATGTCTAAGGACGAGGTGGTTGCTCTGATCGGTGATGGAGAGTGTGCTGTGAAGACTTTAACCAGAAACCACCTGTACTGTGAGCCGCCGACACAGCAGCCATCAGTGGCAGCGCTGAAGAGACGAGACGCCGCCGACACGCTCCTAGAGTTCACTGTACGCCAACTTGTATCTGAACTTTTATTCATTTTGTGGAGTGTCCCATGATACGATATGGAAATCAGTTTTTTGTGTGTGTTTGTGTAGGTGAGGATGGGGAATCTGAACTTTTCTCTGGGACGGGTGCAGTATGATTCTCAGGGCCCAGCTGCGTTCCCACTGGAGGCCCAGGTGGGAGTCGGGGTGGGAGCCTCCATCGTGGCTCTTATTGTGCTGGTTATCGTACTCGTATACAGGTATTCCCATACAGATTATCCAGTTTATCACTGATTATAGACATGCATTGGGATCAAAAAGTCTGAGAAAGCTAGTGAAAGTAGCACATTTTTTTTATTATATTATCTTTATTTTTATATATGTATTAATTATTGAAATCAAGATTATTTCAATGTGTTATGAAAACAGTGTTCAGAACTTAAAACATATATATTATATTATATTATATTTATTATATTATATTATATTATAACCTACCTATAATACTTACCTAAATTTCTTTCTTTACAATAAAGTTTTGATATATATAATTAATTATAATTACGACATTATTTAAATTAATAGTTGATTAACATAATAATAATAATACAATTAATTATCCTCCACAAGTTCATAATCTGATTATCATATTCTGAAGCATATATCTAACAAATATGTTAGATTTAAAGTATTTTCTCAGACATTTGGACCCCACTGTACAGTACATATGTTTATGCTTGGCATGCTCTCTTCTCAAAACTTACAATAAATCAGATGACTAGGATGTGCAGTTGAGAATAAAGAGACATTACCAGACTCAGCAGTGTGTAGTTTTTTTTTTATATTTGTGACCCTGGAGCACAAAACCAGTCTTAAGTCGCTGGGGTATATTTGTAGCAATAGCCAAAAATACATTGTATGGTTCAAAATTATTGATTTTTATTTTATGCCAAAAATCATTAGGACATTAAGTAAAGATCATGTTCCATGAAGATATTTTGTAAATTTCCTACTGTAAATATATCAAAACTTAATTTTTAATTAGTAATATGCATTGCTAAGAACTTTAACAACTTTTATTATTCAGCTTTCAGATGATATATAAATGCCAATTTTAAAAAAATGACCCTTATGACTGGTGTTGTGTGTTTGTGCGTGTTTAACAGGAGGAAAAGCAAGCAAGCACTGAGAGACTATAAGAAAGTCCAGATCCAACTGGAGAATTTGGAGACGAGTGTCCGAGACCGCTGTAAAAAGGAGTTCACAGGTCAGAAGCTCCCACATGAACATCAGCCAGACTCTGCCGACATGCTTGAAATGCCTTATAATAAACTTTGTGTGTGTACTATGCGCAGATCTGATGACTGAGATGATGGATGTGTCCAGTGATCTCATGGGCTCTGGGATTCCAGTCCTGGATTATCGTAAATACTCCGAGAGGATTTTCTTCCCTGGTCACCGTGATTCTCCTCTGAGACGGGACCTTGACGTTCCCGCCTGTCGCCGGGCCACAGTGGAGCAAGGCCTGGTTCAGCTCTCTAACCTGCTAAACAGCAAACTGTTCCTCACCAAGGTGGGCTTTCCTTAAACCTCTGAGAAAGAATTATTCAAACAACCAAACTGGATTATATAGACCATTAAGGCTTTAAGGTTGGTTGTGTCTTCATTTCATATACATCATATACTTCTCTACAGTTCATCCACACTCTGGAAGCCCAGCGGACCTTCTCTCCACGGGACAGGGCGTATGTGGCCTCCCTCCTCACGGTGGCGCTGCACGGCAAGCTGGAGTATTTCACCGACATCCTAAAAACTCTGCTTAGTCACCTGGTGGAGCAGTACACCACTAAAAACCCCAAACTCATGCTGCGCAGGTCAGTAGTGATGAGTCTCTCAGATTTTAAATCATATCATTGAAGCCATGTTACTGTACACTGAAATCATAGAATCCCTGTTAAATCGCATAAATGAACAGGATGTGGATCCTTTCGACTGATAATTGTGGCAGTATGATTCTCAGTGGAAATCTCTCGCCTGTTGCAGGACCGAGTCTGTGGTGGAGAAGCTGTTGACTAACTGGATGTCCATATGTCTTTACACCTTCCTCAGGGTGAGTGATGCTTGTGTTTGGCTCACAAGGACTCAGTAAGAGATACAAAGAACTGGATGAGAGAGAAGTTAAAGTAGGGGAAAACGTGCCAGTAATTGTATTTAAATATGTAACTAGTCCATAGAAAAAGTCACTTGGATTGCAGATTAACCCTATAAAGCCTGCTGTATCATATTTGATGCACAAATTTCTAAGGGTTCTAAATGATCAACATAATCAAAACGTTGCTGTCTATATGCCTTCGAACATGCTTTCTGTCGTCTGTTTGATATTTGATGCTTTTTAGTGAGTAAAAAACCTTTTAGTATAATTGTAAAAATGTCCCCTTCAGGTGATGCTGCACATGTCTTTTTGCTGTGAAATCTTTACTGATTTTATACAGTAAATGTAAGAATAACTTTTATATTGTTAGTAGTATTGAAAGATGAACACTTACTGGACTGAATCAACATAGGTTTACTTGATTATCTATATATAATTTTTTTGAAAAACCATGTTAAATATGATACATCAGGCTTTTGAAGTACATTTATTATCTCTCAATCATCGTTGTATTGCATTGCATTATATGTTTTGCCCCCACAATCAAAACAGAGCTTTGATCAAAAACAAAGCATTTAAATATCATCTTAAGACATATTATTGTGAGATATAGAGTAACAATTTATGTTTATATGCATTTTAAGTAGTCTGCTAAACAGTTCATTTACTTGCATTTATAATCAGAATTTCATCTTTTTACCATATAAATATCAGTTCTGCACCAACTGCACCTTGCATATTTTTGTTCAGTTTGGTCACGAATGAGCTTCATATTCTTCTGTATCATACTATAAAAGCCTTATGTATCAAATATTATACTCAACAAAAAAACACGTGCAAACTTTTTTTTATATATATATTTTGTCTGAAGGTTCAATAAACGGTTTCATAAAAAAAAAAAAATATGGATTTTTCTGACTATTATTTCATATATCAGGGTTAAGCATGCATAAGCATAACTCAAATTAATATTTCATATTTCAGATCCATGTGTTTATTTATAGGATTTATTTATATATCTGTTTATATTATATATTATACATTTTTATTTTATTTATTTATATATCCATGTATTCATATATAGGACACAGCAGGTGAGGCGTTCTACATGCTGTTCAAAGCCATAAAGCACCAGGTGGATAAAGGCCCAGTGGACGCCGTTACAGGCAAAGCCAAATACACACTCAACGACAACCGACTGCTGCGGGAAGACGTGGAGTACCGCACACTGGTGAGACACACACGCTCTCTGCATTACGATTCTGATGCAGAAATGGATATTATACTATGTGTTGTGCATTATTTAGACTTTTACGAGAAAGGTTGATATTTTACTGTTTCTTTGTTTGTTTTTAATCTGATAACTCATTCACACATGACGTATAACATGGCAGAGTCCTGAAAAAATATAGAAAGTTTTTCATGAGCAGTAAAATGTGAAACTTTAAAGTAAACAACTGCTTTTCAACCGCTTTCCATGTTGCCCCATAGACTCTGAATGTTCTGGTGAGCAGCGGAGGTGCTGGTGAGTCTCAGACGGTCCCCACTAAAGTGCTGGATTGTGACACCATCACACAGGTGAAGGAGAAGATTGTGGAGCACACATTGAAGGGCACGTCATACTCCCAGAGACCCTCCGCAGACTCTGTGCATCTGGGTAAGAGCCTGACACAAGCTGATACAATGTTTAAAAACCAAGCCGATCATTTAAAGAAATGTATATTTACTGTGTATTTATTACTTGAAATACATAAAGATTAAATAATAATATTAATAAAATAACAATTATTTTAAAAAATGTATGTAATACTGCTTAATTGAATATTTAATGATAAATGTAAGTTCTTGTAATCTTGTGTTTTATAGAGTGGAGGGCGGGAATGGCTGGTCATTTGATTTTGTCGGATCAGGACTTGACATCAGTGGTTCAGGGGTCCTGGAAACGCCTCAACACCTTACAACACTACAAGGTCTCTCAAGTTGTTTTTCAATCTAATGACTTTATTTTGTGGAATGAAATTTCACATGCTGTTTTTTTTTTCTGAGTCATTGTTGATTTGTAAGTGTTTCCTATATCTCTGCAGGTCCCAGATGGAGCCACAGTAACACTGGTGTCACGACAATCCAAACAAATTCACCACGACAGCCATGACTACATACCAGGAGAGAGTAAGTTTGCTTGTTTTTCAGCATGACATGGTGTTTTTTCTTTTTTTTCAAGAGAACTAAAAACATAAAAATTTACCAAATCAATGCAGAATTCAGTGGATATGCAGGTTTGCATATACTGACATTTTTACAACAGCTTTAAAATTATTCTAATCAGAATACAGAGTTGAACTATCTCAGTTCTTAGTTTTAAAATATTAGTTTTACTAACTTCGGTTTTTCTTTTTATTGAAGTGTTAAATAATTATTTATTAGTTATGAATAGTATTATCTTTTCATTTATGTCCATGAAGTTCCAAATAAAAACAGAAAAAATATCAGATTAGTTACATTTCATTTTTAAAATGTAAAATTCACTGAATTATTCAAAAGTAGATATTACATATTATGTTTATTTAATAAACACTACCGTTCAAAAGTTTGGGGTCAGTAAAAATAAATTAATGCTTGTATTTAGCAAGGATGCATTAAATAGATCTATAATGGTAAAAAAAAATGTAACTTTCTGTTCATCAGAGAATCCTGAAAGTGCAAAAATATTAAGCAGTACAATTGTTTTCAACATTGATAATAATAAGAAATGTTTCTTGAGTAGCAAATCATCATATTAGAATGATTTCTGAAGGATCATGTGACACTGAAGACTGGAGTAATGATGCTGAAAATGCAGCCTTGCATCACAGGAATCAGTTACATCTTAAGAGCACACCTCAGAACGTTCGTCAGCCAATCAGATTCAAGCATTCAACGGCCCCGTAGTATAATACAACAGAATTTTAAATTCTAATAATCAAATAAATGCAACCTTGGTGAGCATAAGAGGCTTCTTTCAAAAATAAAAATCTTTTGAACAGTAGCGTATAATCCAGAATAATCAAAAGAAAACCGTTTGATCATACCGCTATTACAGATTTTCTCATATTTTCATATATTCTTTCTTTCCTCTCTCAGAGACCCCGATGTTGGAGGATGGAGACGAAGGAGGAGTGAAGCAGTGGCACCTGGTGAAGGCCGGTGAGGAGGCGGAGCTACCCAAACACAGACGGGGCAGTCTGAGAGACAAAGAGCGTGAGAGAGCCAAGGCCATCCCAGAGATCTACCTCACACGCCTGCTGTCTGTGAAGGTACCACATACAGACGCCACTGACACAGTTCACTGTAAACAGGGCCAGATGGATCACCTGTACTGTGTGTTTTAGGGTACACTGCAGAAGTTCGTAGACGATCTGTTCACTGTGATCCTGAGCACCAGTCAGCCGGTTCCTCTGGCTGTCAAATATTTCTTTGATCTGTTGGATGACCAGGCTGCACAGCACAACATTACAGACCCAGAGACAATCCATATATGGAAAACAAACAGGTTGGTAAAGAACTTTTTTTTTTTTTTAAGATGAGGCAAGTATTATGGGTAATTCGGTCACAACTTATATTTTGACTTTGATTTGTAGCTTGCCACTGAGATTCTGGATTAATATCTTGAAGAACCCTCAGTTCATCTTCGATGTTCAGGCCTCTGACAATGTAGATGCAGTGCTGTCAGTCATTGCTCAGACCTTCATGGACTCCTGCACTATCGCCGACCACAAACTGGGCAGGGTAAGCCAATCAAAATGAAGCTGGAGGAGATGGATTGCGGGAAGAAGCCAGATTAAAAGACCAGCCGCTAATGACTTTGGTTCTCTGTGTTGTACATACAGGATTCCCCAATCAACAAGCTCCTGTACGCTCGAGACATCCCACGCTACAAACAAATGGTGGAGAGGTGAGTTCAGTTAGCTCATATTAATGCAGTTTAATGCTCAATGTGGAATGACATGTACTCACCATACTTTGTTGATTGTATTTCATCAGATATTATTCAGATATAAGACAGACCATCCCTGTTAGTGACCAAGAGATGAACTCTTCTCTAGCTGAACTCTCTAGGGTGAGTTATGGGACATTTACCTACACTGTGATGCTCAGGTTACCATATTTACAAATTTGATGATGACGAACAGCCTGGGTTAAAGAAACTTAAAGAGAACATTCTGAAAAGCCATCAGAGGATTTAGGATGTTTTCTGCATTGTGGCGGTAGGCAAAAGTAACAAAACCAGACCCACAAGAGAGGCTGGTTCTTCTGTCTCTGCACACTTGCACAAAACCGATTGGTCCAGATGGGAGGAAAGTGGCAAGCAACACTTACTCGGTTACATGTGGGTGCAAATTACCCACAAATAAAGGGGCCCTCACCTGATCCATTAGATGTGGTTGTTTTGACTGGCCTTCAAAGATGATTCTTGTTAGAAAGCTCTTTGTACAAAGCAAACCACAAAGCCCGGGACACACCAAGATGACGGACAGCAGTCAGACAATGTCAATTGTTTTTTTTTTATTTGAGCATCGGCCGTTTTAGTTTTTTTTTTCTGTAAATTCCGCACTGTTGACTCTAGTTGGACACCGTCAGCTGTTTTTGTCTGATTCTGTATGTCAAATCTGCGACGGAGCTCGTTGGCGAGAAAGAGGACTCCGATTGTCTGTTCAGCTTAGCGAATGAGTGCACAAGAAAAAAACAGAACTGACGAAAGCAAACCAATGACAGAGTAAAGAGGGAACGCACAGACACCTGTTGTCAATCTATCCGTTTCTTTCTTTCTTTATCCACAAGAGGAAGACCAAGGGCTGACAATGCAAGTGCCAACTTAGCAGACATGATGGAAAAAAGCTACACAAATCCATCAGTAATGAGCACAGCTGGTGTAAACAATGGTAAAAGCAAGCCCTGCTTGCTTTGTGTATCCCATAGACTGTATAAAAACATGGACGTAGTGTCCGTGACGGCAAAATTAGCTATATAGACCAAAACAACTTTTTGTACCAGGCTGTAAACATTTTTTTTTTTCTGCTGTAAAGTTGGGCATTTTAACATAGGGAGTCTATGGGACTGACTCCCTTTTGGAGCAGCCAGTCGATGAATTGCAGTTTTAGTCAATTCCGTGTTGGTTTCATGAGAGAGACCGGAAGGTTGCCGCTTGGTGTATCCACAGTTCTAGCTCTCCCGGTTTCCCTGATTGAATGCCGAATACAGACTACTGCCACCTGCTGGTATGGGAGAGTTATGTTCTCTCACACAAGCGCAGAGTGTACGCGCTAGCTGGCCATTGGCTGTAGTCTGTCTGATGTGTTCTAGTGTAAGTTTTTTGCCCCGACACAGGTGATGTGAGGTGATGCCACAGCAGGCTTTCCTCAGCGCTAGTTCTTTGGAGTCGGTTTGGTGTGTCCCCTACCCTCACAGTCACTGTGTGGAACTCACAATGACTGGGTATGAAAGTACAAATCTGAGAATAAATTGCAAAGACCGAGTAAAAATTGTAAAGTTTGAGTAAAAGTCACAACCGCTGTACGCCTTAAGGAAGGCTTAAATACACTACATGACTTTTAGCCAGATTTTTACCCCATTTACAGTCTGGACAAGTTGATGCTTGTTGCCAAAAGTGAGAGCCAGTCTGCAGATTCGAGTTGACAGATTTTACGTAGTGTATGATGGTCACAGACTCCGATTTTTTTTAGCTTCAAATTCTGATTCCATCCATTCAGAGGATATGAGACATGTTTGATATTTTGAGCCAATGTTGTTGTCTTTTGTCACACGTCTCCTAGCAACAAGGCATATTTTTCTGCATGAGTTTGTGTTCAGAACAGTTTGAAAGTCTGGTAGTGTGTAAATGATCCTCAGTCATCTGTGACCCTGGATCACAAAACCAGTCATAAGGGTCCATTTTTTTCGAAATTTAGATTTATACATAATCTAAAAGCTGAATAAATAAGCTTTCCACTGATGTATGGTTTGTTAGGATAGGACAATATTTGGCCGAGATACAACTATTTGAAAATCTGGAATCTGAGGGTGCAAAAAATCAAAATACTGAGAAAATCGCCTTTAAAGTTGTCCAAATTAAGTTCTTAGCAATGCATATTACTAATCAAAAATTAAGTTTTGATATATTTACGGTAGGAAATTTACAAAATATCTTCATGGAACATGATCTTTACTTAATATCTTAATGATTTTTGACATCAAACAATCAAACCCTAATTAATGCCATATATATGAGGCTATGATGTTTTTATTTTATGTAACTCATCCCCCCACAGTGTGAGACAACAAATTTGTTATGCCAATATTAAATGCATTTTTTAATTATAATTAATTCATTATAATATTGTTTATTCTGTGTTATGCTTCCATTGCAGAACTACTCTAATGAAGTTAACCATCTAGTGGCATTGCATGAGTTGTACAAGTATATCAACAAATACTATGATCAGGTGAGAACTTCAGTATATTCTATATATTTCTCTCTCTCTCTCTCTCTCTCTCTCTGTATATTTGTATGTTTATGTTGTACATTAAAATGGCATTAATAGCATTGAAAAAAGATAAAGTTTTTTATCAAACAGCAAGTGTATTTTTAAAATAGTTTGATTATTAAAATTAAATCATGTTTTAACTCAAAGTAACTCTTCTTTTGTCTGTTTTGTGTGCTTTGCCCTTCAGATGAGTTATTAATATTTGCATGCTCTGGTGTGAATAGTGATGAAGGGGCTTGACAGCACGTTCTTGTCATGCACTCATGCTTTAGCAAGTGTTTTATAGCAACCTAGTAACAATAACAATGATGCACAGTATTAACAGTGACAAAAATAGACTCCTGTTGTAACAAGAGTTAATATTGTATACATCTACTGCTCCATGTTTACAAGTAGAACAATATTTGCATGTAGACATAAGTTTTATCACGAGGAATCACATTTTTCTTGATTTTTTGTGAATAAAGTATTTGTTGAGCTATGAACATACAGCACTTTCAGTCAGTTAAACACCTGACATTCTCTTATAAAAGCTCGTTCTGTGTCTTTTCTGATGCCAGGCAGATGGATATGAACATTGTCAGTTAATTCAGAGGAAGCAGGATAGATACTGTTATTCTTAAACACCAGAGAATCTGCAGATTCATTACATTAAACTTAAGTAACATTAGAAATGAACTCAAAGGAAAATTAAATTTAACATTTTATTTTTACATTGTCTGAAACTAAACAGCCAACTTAAAGTTAGGGTGATGATTTACATATCATGAAATGAAAAGATCCCCAATCCTTTTCATGTCTATAATTTTTTTTTTTCTTCATAGATCATCACAGCTTTAGAGGAGGACTCCACTGCTCAAAAGATGCAGCTGGGCTACAGACTCCAACAGATTGCTGCAGCTGTGGAGAATAAAGTCACTGACCTTTGACCTGTAACCTCAGACAGACACTTGAAAAGACTGTAAAAGAGACAAAGCCGGTGACAGAAAGAGACCAGAGACCTTGCCAAAAGACATGAACTCTTACTTCCTGAAGACTCCAGAGCACAGAGGATATTTAAGACGGATGATTACGATTAAAGACAGCATTCACAGATTCGAGAAGCGTGAATCTCTCATAGATGTTACACGTACACTGTTGCTGGTCTGTAGAGCTGCTCTCGGTTTAATCTGAACAGCAGTCACTCACCAACACGCTACAGTGCCTGTGAAACTAACTGTTGTTGGCGGGGCATTTCTGAGAGAAGTCCCTTATCTGATGCGCTAGTCCTCCAGGGTTTTTTGCATTGAGACGTACGGCCCTAAGCAAAGAATGTTGTTTTCAGCGTGTCAAGCATGCTTGAACACCACATTTTCTGTATTTAAAAAAGAAGTCTTACAAAGGCCGACTTACTGTTTGGCGGATTCTTGATAAACTGCTTATCCATGCATTTGGTGTGATGTGCTTTATGTTGCAGCCTGTGACTTAATAAAAGAACTCAAAAGAAAAAAAACAAACAAAGGATGGCTTCTAAGGACAACTAAATGACAATTCTTGCTCAACACTCCCATAGACCTTTTGTTAAGTGTTCTCTTGAAAACTGTTTTTATCCAGATTTTTGTTTTGCTTTAAATGAAAAACACTGGTTTAAGGGACCTCACCCTAACAGGGCCATTTGAGATATTTTCATGTGGCACAGGCTACAGTATTATATACATTAACATGCATGGATACTCACCGTGAATTCAGAGATTTTAGGTTGGCACATGCATGTCGCGTGTGCATTTTATTGTCGATTCTGATTATGTAAATGGCAGGTTAACCCAATTAACACACTTGATTTAGGTTAACAGGTTTCATGTAACGTTCACAATGCTCAGTTGTGCATTTGTTCTAGTCATTAAGGTTTGTTTCTTCAGTGTTAAAGTGTGCTTTTCAATGTTTTTGGTTGGCTTTCAGTAAAAGGTTGCACGTGTGTATATCTGCGATACATCCCTGCACACTTGGCTGAAATAGTTATGCCGGAAGTATTTAATTTATGCTGCTTTGGTTTTGTTTTTTTTATATATAATATATATATTATTATTTGTGCGATCATGGCCATCCTTTCAAACGTTTTATATATTTTCACACGTTTTTATATTTTTCTTCAAATTTATTCTAAAGCAGTCACACTTTTAATTCTTTTTTTTTTTTTATCAGATCATGGCTAACATAAATTAGATTTTAAAATTTTTTAAGTTTTCTGGACACTGCACATTTTATTGTGAGCTGTTGTGCTGTGCATTGCTCCCACGTTTTACGTTCTTATTGGTTTTTATTTATTTATTTATTTATTGTGTGTTCGATTAATGTACAGACCAAATTTGTTAGTGAGCAGCACAGCCACCTGTCTCCTCAGAATATCTCTCAACTCAGAGAGAGAGTTCATAAAGTCAGAGATGAGCATCTATAAGCAGCTCCAGACCTCTGATGAAATCATGCAAACAAACACAAAGGACATGATCTGCACCAAATCGTGAGTGCAACACACCTCTTTACTCTGCATGTTTCTATGTATATTTTACTGTAAAGGTTTTCACCAAAAATATTTAAAATGTGCTTCTGCTGTTGGATTGTTGTGATTGGGTCAGAGATTCTGTTTGTGGCCTTTGGTAGCCATATAATAATATCTTTCAATTCTTCTATAAAAAGATGAAATGACAGAGTTTGGCTGCAGTTGTATGACAGTAAACACTGGTCTTCAGGACATGGATACTGTACTGCCCAATTGGTGTTGGCAGAAGTTAATCCTTATATAATGAAAATGTCTGCTTTATATTTAGATGAGTTATGTTGAATGCACATGATATTGTGAGCTGACGTATATTGTCGTACTGTGCATTGCTCGCATGATTTACTTTCTTATTGATTTTTATGTATTTATTTATTTATTTTGTGTTCGATTAATGTACAGACCAAATTTGGTAATTATGATCCACCCCTCCCAAATTTAAAATTAACATTTTTTTTTTTTTAGCTTGTAATCTACAGTGAACTGACTGCAGTTGTCAGTATTTGTTCAGATCTCTTCATGCAGATATACTGGTCTTATTTTTGCTGTAGTTCACTATTGTGCTCACTGTTTTGTACGTATGTGTGGCTATGATACACTATAGATTGTTTTGTAAGTCTTGCACAGGATGCGCTGGCCTATTTGAAGCGACTGTAAATTGTTTCTACCATCTGTTCTTTTACCTGTGCATTTCTATTGTAAATAAAATGTTGCTATAACTCAAAATGTTTCACAATTTGTTGGACGTTCAGCTTTACTTTAATGAACTGTTCAGAAAGTTGCATTGTAAAACAGAGTGATTGCGTCTTTGTATTAAAGGAACAGTTTTTGCAAAATGAACATTCTGTAGTTGTTTACTTACCCTAGTGAAATATGTCTTTAGGGTCTTCATTACAACTTTTAATAGATTCAAAATACCATTCAGTTATTATAAATTAAGTAATGCTTGAATGAATTTCTTTGATCTCTGGAAAACAAATGTCTCCATCACATCCTTCCATACACATGTATAGTAAAGTAGATTTACCTTATAATTATGGTATAATTACCTTTTATTATGTGCTACTGTACTGCCCAATTGGTGTTGGCAGAAGTTAATCCTTATATAATGAAAATGTCTGCTTTATATTTAGATGAGTTATGTTGTTTTATATATAGTATGTGCTTTATTGGTCTATAGCAGACTTCTGGTCATGTACCTCTTTTTTGATCCTTTAAGAACATCCACTAATTGACATTTCTTTGAGATTTAGTTTAAGTACTTTTAGTTTAAGATACATCACAATAATTATAGAATTATAATTTTAGAATGAATGAATTAGTATGTTGTTGTATGTGTTAATATGCAGACTTGATCTAAATGCGGTACTGGCTTATCTGACTCTTGGTGAGCCAAATGTGTCAGGATAGAAGAGCTGCGCTTCCACCTCTACCGGACGTTTATGGTTGTCTAAGAATACACAGCACAGATTTAGTCATTTGTATATGCTCCATTACATCAGCAACCACTGAATTATGTATGCTTACATCTGCAAAGATTTATGACTCTCATGATACTTTATGCATCATATATGTTCTGCCAGGTCTAAAACCAGCCTCTGCAGGACAGCAGCAGAGAGACCGTATATATTTATCCTCGTATCTCTAATCCCTGTCAGAGAAGAGACCTCAAGAGTGTCTTCTCTAGGTGGCAAACATCAAGACTTCTGCTTCCTGTGTGAACACGAATTGCTGCAATCTAAATGGTTAGTCATTATAAACCACATAGAATACATTAATCTGTTGACAAATTGCTTTAATCATGCTGTGATCCTAACAAATATGGTATATTGTCAATAAATATTGATCTTTTCTCAGAGTAAACTCTTGAGTACCTGGTTCTCATGTTATGATGTTTCAAATGAGGGCAGGTCAGAACCGCTCACTGGCGCTGACACTCACTGGTTCCCCAGAGAATCTCCAGTGAACAGTTCTTAAAAGAACCCTTTTTCCCATAGTGTAAAGAACACAAAGAACCTTTGTGCAATAAAATGTTTCCATGGATATTAAAGGTTCTGCATGGAACCATAGAGACCAATTAAGAACCTTTGTTTTTATAAGTGTATACAGTTCATTGACTTTCTCTCTCTATAGGTGGGTATCACCCAGTGCAGGTGGGCGATGTTTTTAATAAGAGATACAAGGTTCTGTCAAAGCTAGGTTGGGGTTATTTCTCTACTGTATGGCTCTGCATTGACCTCAGGTACTGAAACTTTGTGTTTTATGTGTTGCCTTGCATGTGTAAATGTGTGTATTGAAGTGTGCATGTGTGTTTAAAAGTTCTCAAGTGTCCGTTCAAATGAGGGCAGGTCAGAACCGCTCACTGGCGCTGACACTCAGAAGTGTGTGTGTCAGTGTTACTAAGTGATAAGTGCTTTCATGTGTGTCTGGAATCATCCAGAGACTGAAGGTCAGGGCATTTTGACCCTTAGAAGTTCCTTCAGGAATATCTCATTTCCAGTCAATGCATACACAAACATCAGTAGTGCTAAATGGATTTAATATTGACTTAATCCTCAAAAATAACTAGAGGCAATGCATTATAGTGATTTTACCACAAGTAAGGAGTGTTTTCAAACCTAAAGGGCAACTGTATGTAGTTTTGTATATTTTTGAGGCTTTAGAGCCCCCTATGGTTAAGTGAGTGGAATTCACTGTCGTAATTACAGCGGATAGCGCATGCATTGTTCGTTACTGCCGTAAAGCAAATCGCCTTTCGCGGAATTTCGTACCCGCTCATTAAACTTATGAATTTAGAGGGAGAGTGGGAAAAAAAGCGACACTATTTGCCTAAATAGAAGTTGGTGTACCATCTGAATGATTTTGAAACTGATATTTCAAGGTAAAATACTAATAGTGATGATAAGAATAATAAATAAATAACGTTGCTTTAATTACAAGCATAATAATCAATGTAACAGCTTGTCACATTAATGTAGAATTTGTGTGTTTGTTATCTATAGCGTTTTACAGATATTTTAGAGACAGAACCATTCTTTTTTTATATAAATGCAGATAAAAATAACTACTAGTAATCTATTAAATCAAGACTTTTAAACATACATTACTCTTATAGTACAATTATATGTTGGCTGTTTTAGCACAGAACAGTAGCTAAAAGCATCAACAGCTGATGTTACTGAGGCCGATGGAAAGCTCAATAGACTTTTAATGGAATATAAACACCCTCAACTCGAGCCCATATAAGCTCATTCACTTCAAGCTTGTCAAGGCCTGCTAAATCCTTCTCATTTCTAACGAACTCTTCATTCATTATTATGTGACCTCAGCTGCTTTCTCATCCAGATAATTGCTTTTGATTTGTGTTACAGTCAGACACTTTGGCAGTTGGCAGTCTGAGAATAGCTGATCTATTTATGACCCATGATGCAGTTTTGAGACATGTCCCATTTAGAGTACAAAGCCCAGGGGAGAATGCTAGATAAAAGAAGGAAGACAATTACCATTAAGCTTTCTGAGATACAGATTTTATTCATTATTATCCGTGTTTATTGATCATCAGATTGTGATCCGACTGAAATAGCACAGTGGCTTCCATAAAATGATTCTACATTTAACAAGTTTATGTAGACTGTATTTCAAATAAACATGAAACAGTATTCACAACACATTTTGCTTCCATAATGCAGTGCATTTCCAAATCAAACAGGGAATTCACCTGAGAAAATTGTGGGACTTGAATGGCACTAAATACCAAAATGGAGAGATGAATATAAGTTTGCTAAATCATTGCTCTATTTTGTTTTGAGTTCACATTTTAAATGGCTTTTATTGTTTTATTTTGTTCACGTGTAAGTTTTTCTATTTGCTATCCCTCATTCCTCAATATTTGTTTAAATATAATTTTATTATTAATATTATTTGTTTGTTTGTTTGATGTTTGTATCATTATTTTGTTCAGAACTATTATTTACACCTTTTGCTATTTACTATCTCTCATTCCTCTACATCTCTACATTCATTTAAAATGAAAAATGTAAAAATATATATATATATATTAGGGGTGTAACGGTACACGTATTCGTACCGAACCGTTT